GTGAATAATTCAATGTTCACCCTAAATAAATTATTTTTTTCTAATTGGGGGAGGAAAGATTCGAACTCTGCTTTATAAGCAAGGGATCATGTACTAACTAATGAGCCAAATACTCGAGTGCCCTAAATAAATTATTTAATTTATAAATATTTCTAGTGAAAGTTTATTTGTGTGCTAGATTTTTGAGTTGTCTGAAACTGGTTTACACTATGTAGTTGTTTTCTTTAAAAAAAATCTTTACAAATAATGATAGATATTTTGATATAGTCATATATAAAAAATTAGATATATTTTGGTATTCTAAATTTCTATTATGATAGATTTTGAATTATTATAAATTAATTATACATAAAACTCAACATTTTCATCTTTAATTGCAAGATGCATGCCTTGTGCACATTTTAACTCCTAACGGGATGAGCTGATGATCCATGAACAGCTCCAATAAAATATACACTAGTGAAATATGTACTTTATTTGATTCCAATATCATAAAAATAGATTTGTAAATATTACATATGAACTTAAAGTTTTTTATTATTTTAATAAGTAAACTTGAAGTTTTTAAAATGATAATTTGGTATTTTATTGAGAATGTGATTATTAAAAAGATAATTTTATAGAGTTTGGTATAACATAAAAAAGTTATGATTATAGAAAATATGACTGCTGATAAACAATGTGTAAGACCTCAACTTCAAGCAACGATAAACAATTAGATCTTATATATGAAGATCTGAAAATATAAACTGTAGATCAACTAGCGTCTCTCATCTTGAGCCACAAACAATAGTAAATTTGTTATAGGTGAGCGGCTAGGGCAAGAAGAAGAAGAGGACGGTCGGGGTTGGGCTATGGCAGGAGAATTTGGGAAAAAAAAATGTAACTTTTTGTTTATAAAGGAAAGTTTACTTTGCATCGAGATGGTAGGTGATCACATACCCTTTGTATATTATAATGCCACTTCAATGAGACGACTTTCCAATGACTTTTAGTTTAATGTAAATATATTTATTTAAAATACAAAAAATGATTCCCCATGCATACAATTAGCATACCAAACGGCCCCTTAGACAGCTAGAGCTCACGTTCTGGCTGGTTGACATTCTGAACAGGTCTGTCTGATGTACGTTTCCACACTTTCAGTGCACGGCCTCGAAGAAATGTGTCTTGTTCTTTCTCCAACTCGAATTTGGCGTCGTTATTGAAAAATTCAACTTCTTTCCACTACCATTCTGCAATTCTTTAGGTCAATCGAAAGCTTCCAACCTCGAACATGTAGTTAACTTTGACTGATTCAACAAGCAGCTTAAGTCGTTGATGCAGGACGCAAGTTGCAGCTATACTAAGCTATTTCTTTTGCTGACCTGATGACGAAGTCCTCTGTACGGTATAGCTCCCATATTTTTCCCCCAAATCGGAACAAGAAATTATACCCCAAAGAAAAGTCTATAATAGGAAACTAACAATGAAGCTTCTCAGAATCAAGGTTCCGAGGTCTATTTAAGACTGCGATCTGAAGTAAGCTGAGAACAAGAGAGAGAGGAAGATTTATTCAGAGATGGAGAAAATAAAGGAAAACATTGAAAAGGGGAAGCGACTGTTCACCCACAGAATCGACAGCTGTAGATTCAAACCTGGAGATCATATATATGCCTACAGGGGATTTGGTTCATACAGCCATCACGGTCTGTTTTCTTTTCCGTTTCTTTTCCTTTTAATGTAAATGCACATTGATTTTCCTGGAGTCGCTCATACGCTTTAATTAATGAAAATTCCAGGAATATATGTTGGTGAAGATCGTGTGATTCATTTCATCCCAACAGAAAGTGACGGTCTCTCCAAGCAAGACCCTCCTTGTCCAAAATGTGGATATCAGCACAACGTTCACCTCGGAGTGGTGAAGACCTGCCTGGGTTGCTTCCTATCCAAGGGTGCCCTTTCAAGCGATTCCCTCTGTCTTTACCAATACGAAGAATCGAAGTTGGTTAAGAAGTTGAAAAGAGCTGGCAGCTGCAGCAGCGCCAAATGTTTACCACCCGAAACCGTTGTGAACATTGCCAATGAGCTCCACAAGGAAAATTGTTTCGGCCGCTATGACCTTGTTGGGAACAACTGTGAAGACTTCAGTACATTCTGTAAGACTGGCATTCGCAGAAGTGAACAGGTCGTTATTGTTATGAATTTACCTATGATGCCATTCCTGGCCAAAGTATTGGAGAGCTTAAAGCTCTCTCTACCTAAATAATGCTTTAGAAAGAAACTCCAAAAAATTGTGTATAATTTCAATAAGATTTCGGAGGATTTCTTAGTACCAAATTTCTTAGATTTCCTAATGGTGAAGATATATCAAGTGTTAACATTGTTGACTTTAGTATTAATTCCATCAAATACTTGTTATTTGTGCTCTTTTTTAAATAAAAATTATGAGCAATTACTATATGCTTGTCTATTTACTTAAATGCTATGTTCAAGAGCTTGATTTCTTTTAATTCTTGCTTCAAGTTTAATGCTCTCACTATAAGCGACAATCATCGAGTGAGATGATTGAACCTAGAACCTAATTTATTAATCAGGTTTAAGACCCAAGGTATTAATTATTTTTGGATCTTAATGGGTTAATTGGGTCTTGGAACTTGATAGTCTAAATTGAACTAAAAAACAAAAACAAAAACAAAAACAAAAAAATAATAATAGTAATAGAAAGTACAACAAAATAAAAAAAATCTGAAAAGGAGGGGATGGATTGCCAAATCCACAAGGCTCAATGTCTTTCTCTTACACCCAAAAGTCATGTTTGGTTTGTGAAATAGATAGTACTAGAATCGAATAGTTATTCTATAAGAATATAATAAGATAAGAATATAATAAAATAATTATTACGTAATTTAGTACGACGAATGGAATAAAGTAAGAATAGTTATTATGATTTATTGTAATGTTTGGTTAGTAAAGATAATTTTGAAGTAAGAAAGGAATATAAAATAAAAAAACAAAAATATCTTTTATTATATATATGATTATTTATTTTTATTTTATTTTTTAAAAATTAATTATTTATAATTTATTTAAAATATTAATAATTGATCATTTAAATGTTAATATTTATTTATAATTTAATCATTAGTATTATAAAAAATTAATATTTTATTATAATTTAATTGTTATTATGATTATTTATTTATTTTATTTTATTTTTTAAATCTTTATAATTTATAAATTATTTAAAATATAAATAATTGATAATTTAAATAATAATATTTTATTTATACTTTAATCATTAACATGATAAAATATTAATATTTATTTATAATTTAATTATTAGTATAATTATTATTTTTAAATTATTAATAATTTAATTATTATATTAATAATTGATAATTTAAATATTAATACTTTATTATAATTTAATCATTAATATTTAAAAATATTATTTTTATTTATAATTTAAATATTAGTATGATTATTTATTTTTAAATATTTATAACTTATAATTTATTTAAAATATTAATAATTGATAATTAAAATATTAATACTTTATTATATTAATCAATAATATTTAAAAATATTAATATTTTA